TCCAGGATCGACATTTCATATCTAGGGTTCCTAATTTCCCCCAGGTTACGAACTACGCCGTTTCATGTCCCGCAAGTCTGCTAATCAAAATCGATCACTATTTTCCAAGCAATCGCAATTCCTGTGCCTACCGTTACACACATGTAATTTTAATCCTATCTGCCAAGCCCCATAAATACAACAGTCACCTCTACCAAATACCAATATGGGAGCAAGGTGAGTTCTCAGCTCAAACACACAGGATATATATTAGTCACGTTTCACCCGCAGATGTGCCGACCATCCTTACATCAGCAATGTTAATACTTTTTTTTAACCACACATCGCCCCTTTTCATTAATGAATAACGGAAATACATCAGTGCAAGCTTCAGTCCATCGCACCATCATCTTGAGCAGCAGCACAGATACACATCATGTTCTTCGCATTCTCCCTGAGCATCATTGCCCCACGCCACATTGCCTCCTCGTCATCACTCTTCAGCAAACCTGCCCCATAATCCAGAAATACACATGAAGAGAACACCGCCAAAAAGGGATTTTAGGAAATTTAAACTCAAAGGTTGCTTCATTGCGACAGTTCCAAATGGCCCAGCATATAGCTGCGAGACCAAAACTGTAGAATTTTTCGGACTTATTTGCTGAACTTCAACTGTCCCCTTCGTCCTCTCGTCACATTAGGTGGCTGGAGGTTGGAGTCCTTGCCTGGACGCTTTGGACCGTTCGCAATAAGCTTGTGATCCAGCGTTCTCCTCTTTGTCGCGCTACTGATGCTCTCTACAAATTCTCGGGTTTCTTGCAGCTTTGGCGGCCGCTTAGCCGCCCCCTGGATCGGGACGCCATCTCAGCCTTCATCGCCGATCTCCGCTCGATGGCCGTCCGCCTATCGCCACCGCCCCCGCCGCCTCCGCCGAAGCCTGACTAGATCGCCTGCGCTGGACAGGCTTTGTTTTTTCTCTTTCTTCTGGGCTTGTTGAGCTGTGCCCTCAGCAGAACCTTTATACTTTGTTGTGGTACTTGGGTGGTGTGTGTGTGTGGACCTGTTGTGGTTGTATGTCTTCTGGCGGTTTGCTTTATTTATAAAGCGGGGCGAAAGCCTTTTTCGGTAAACTATAGAATTCACTCCCATCAGGTAAAAACTGTAGTACCACGATTTTTTTTTTTTGAAACAGAGGCAAAAGCTTTGCCTTTTTCATTAATAGAGAAGAAGATAGTTGCCCGGTTAATTACAGGAAAACCGTGTGAAAACCGGTACATCAAGGGTCAAACCCACACACAGACCCGACAAGCCAACAAGGACCCCGCAGATGGCGCGCTACAAAAGCCATCCCGCGAAACAACATGCGGACTACTCCCAGAATAATAAGCACATGAGAGGAAGGCACATACTAATGGCTAACATCATGACATGCGGTCCCCACGCCCGAGGCGACGCCTGCCAGTTGGTTGACATTCTTGATCTTCACTGCATTGACAAGGTGAATCAACCCTTGGGTGATCGCAGGCACGGCAGAAAGGCTTTTGACCAGCTCGATGAAGACGTGTAAAGTGTTTTGGCCCTCAAATGCCGATGCGCATCCCTTTGCAACGCCCCACACCTCATTGGAGGCAGAAGTAGGAAGGCTAAGCTCGGTGGCCACCTTGTCAAACAAGGCCATAGACTTGACCGACGCATGCTGCCCTGCAGACTCCACGGCAGCAACATACCCTGAGGGCGCCAACCCAACCTTGTCGCCAATGTCATCAACACCTTTGCTCCCATCTTTTGGTAGCGTCAAACCATGAACGGCAGTGCCTAAGGAGCAAGGTCCCTGCAAGGAGGCTGGGCTCAACCCACGCTCACCATCAGACACCTCCGCCTGCTCCAAGAGGTCGGACACACGTGCCAACCACAGGCACAAAGAGTCCTCCAGCTTGCGCAGCGGGCGGAGCGCAAACTCAACCAAGCTTTGCAGCTCCGCACGAAATGAGACAAGCATAGCATCATCAGATGTCGCAACACCCTGATCAACAGAACCTTCGCTTGGAGCTTCAATAATCCTTGCAGACTCAGGAGCTTGCACACACATTGCGGGAGCAACAACCGAAGCCCAAGAGCGCCCATCTGAGGAAGGGCGAGGCGGAGCTGGGGGGTCACGCACACAGTGGCGAACAGCTTCGACGGAGGAGTGACGCAGAGAACAGTCCCTCTCACGGTGTCCAGAGCGAAGGCAAGTGAGGCATCGAAACGGGTCGCGGCAGGACGCAACCTTGTGGTCCAGAGCCAAGCAACGGAAACATTGACCACGGGTTCTCCTCTTGAATGTGTCGGCTTGCACAGACCTCGCATCATGAAAGGTCGGGGACGTGGAAGACTTGCTGCAAGGCACATGACGGGGACGACGCCTTCGTCCGACGTAAATCCAGGGACCATCCCCAGGTTGTGCGACCACAACTTCCGCCTGATCACAAGGATAGCAGCAAGCAGTCGACGCACCAACCGCACCAGAGCATGAGCCTTCGACAACAGACGTTGCCATCTTCGGTGCGCCAGGTCCCCTTTGCCAGAATCGCCGTTGTCACGATCCTCGCCTGAACCCTGGCCATCTGCATCGACCAGAGATGCCCACGGCCCCGCATGAGCAACATTGGCGTCAACAGAGCACAGGGAATACTGGGAGGCAGCCGGCGGCGACCGTGGAGCAAGCTCCTCCTCTCCGTCGTCATTGTCGTCCTCCTCCTTGCCAGCGGAGCTCCAGAGGGGCGGCGGTGGCACTACCGACATCACCAGATCGGGAGGAAGTTTGCCCACATCCTTGAGAAGAGAGCAACATGGCAAGCGCTTCATGGTGCAGGGAACGATGGTCGGCGGCAGATGGGCCAGCTCCACACTCCCCTCGCCATCGACGGTGGAGCACCGGGAGCCAGGCCTAGCCCTGAGCAGCACCCCCATCACATCGTCAGGAGCATCGCTCCGGACAGCCGGAGGCAACCGAGAGACGGGATCCAGATCCGCCTGATCTGGATCGAGCGGGGGAGGGGTGATGGGGATCGACGCCGGTGGCTCCGGCAGCTGGCTGGAGGAGGCGCCGGCCAAGGTGGCGGGTGACGGAGCTGGGAAGCTCGTCGCTGCAGCCTTCGAGGAGCACGAGCGGGAGACCTGCGCACTCCGCCGGCCACCGTTCTCCTGCCGCATCCTACAGGCTGGGGGTAGCGGCCGCGAGCGCGGGAGCACGCGAGGCGCCGGTAGGGTGGCCGGCGGGGCCGGGGTGGCCGCCGCCGGTGGGGGCTGGTTGAGGGGCGCGGGGTCGGGGTCGCGAGAGAGCCGTTGCATTGTATAGTACCACAAATAAAACTGCCAAATGTTGTTAGGGCACAACTCGGTGCCAAAGACTAATCTCACAGTTCTCCAAACCACCCAAGCCAATGGGCATAAGAAGAAGAGATGCTGGGACATCTCTCTCTTGCTGCAAAAAGAGCAGCGCGGATTCCCCGTCCAATTTCTCCTGCTCATAGCATCCCTGGTCAACACGGCATATTGAAAAAGTTGCCAAAGGAAGATATGGATTTTAGAAGGAATTTTAGCTTTCCAAATCCACTTAAAACCACAACCCGTGATATTTCTCTCTATGTGTTCATACATCAACTTAGTAGTAAAAGTCTGCTTGGGGCCCAAAGCCTAAACAATCTTATCAGGATCAGAGGTAATATCCAGCCCAACAATAAAAGAGCACATCTGCAGTCTAGCAATATTACCAGAACCAAGAAGCACATCCCTACCAGCCATATAGCACTCTTTTACTTTCATAATAGCCTTCCAAATAGGGGAATCAGAGAATCTGCTTTTGACCGTGGCCACAGAATCTCTCTGAAGACATTTCGCTTTAACTATATCTTGCCAAAAACCATCTTGAGTATCAAGTTTCCACCACCACTTGTTAAGTACACTGATATTTTGTTTCTGGAGGTCCTTGACTATTTCATTGATCTATCACACTTGTCTCTGTTTCACGTATGCCGTCCTTCTACTTATATCTTTTTATTGAGGAAGACTAGGCTCATTCCAAATCATATAGGTGTCTTGTATGATATTGCACTCAGCAAGAGGCCCTGAGAATGTAAATTGTCTGCAGAATGAAGACTATAGTGTCCTGGGATTCCTGTAAATTATCACTCTGGGCATATAAATTATGTGAACACTGTATTATCGCTCCAGAACCAACAGCCCATACACGTATAGTAGAGGGTATTAATTAGCTAAAACAGGCAATGAACAAAAAACAGTTCTATAAAATTCCGCTACATGCACGCTGAACAGTGTATAGATACTACAAAATGCTAAACAAGAACGATCAGAGTCAAGGACCAAAGTTACCACCAGACGGATTCATAGCGGCGGCCTCATAACACGATGAAAAGAAGAACCAGTGAAATAAACTCACCAAAAAACAAGCGCATCAAAGCAGGATAATTAATACTCACTCGGTCCTGGTTTATTGAGCCGCCTGTGGCCTGTACTATAGTGTCAAACTTTGAGCATAAATAGTTAATTAATAATATATAAACTAGTTTAAGTCACAAAATCACATGGTGGGAATACTCTTCGAAGCAGGGAGCATACCCAAACAGTTCACTGCCACAAAGAATCGCGGGTGTGGTCTGCTGGGGCCAAGGCGGGCGCGCATTCTACACTCGAGATAAAGGTAGGAGAAAGGACGGAGAAATCCTCAAGATGAAGTTTTACTAGTTGACTCAAGCGCAGAGGTAAAAAAACTAAAAATATATGCTAGAATTTAAGCAGATAGCATGACCAATAATTTTAATTTATAATTTTTTACCAAAAACAATATTCCATAAAGAAAGATGCACCATGATGCTTTCATTTCTTCTTGCAGCCATCAATTGCCTATTTGACTATTTCAACCATGGAGATAAAAGCTAAGCAAATATATTCATTCACATCTGATGAGAAAAACCATGGAAGGATCAATCCAATAACAGTGACACATAGATAAGTTTTCCTCAGAGCACGCAGTGGATTCTATTGTCCTCCAAACTGTAACATTCAGACTTGTGCTTGATGATCTGGAAACCATTGACATCGCGCACCACCTCCACACCGGTCAAGATGGTAAGCTCATCGACCGCACCATCAAGTGGTGCGCACGAGGTGTGCCTCAAGAGATTCCGAAAGCTGGTGGCGATGCAGAACTTACCTGAGCCCATGTTTAGCAGGTGCCTCTGCCGTGGCAAGCACTCATCCGGCAGGCGGCTGAGATAGCTCCAGGAGTGCCGCACCACCGGTTGCCTGGAGGAATCGAAGTCAAAAGCACGCAGGCAATGGTTGGGGTTGCCAATGGCATCGTCGAGGCCAAACCAGAGGCCAAACTCAGGGACATACTCTGCCGCACCATGGACGGGCAGCACCCAGCTGCCAGCCTGTCTCCACTCGCGGGTTACCGTGTCAAAGAAGGCGCAGGCTCCGGCATCCACGGATGAGGCACATATTGTGGTGGCATCCAACACGACCGCTGCAGAGGGAGCACAAACTTTGCTGTTGCCGCCAGGCAGGCACTGCGGAAACAATGGCGGGCAGGGCAGAGGTCGCCAGTACCAAGGCGGTTTGCTCAGATCAGTTGTCCTGGTATATTTCAAGACCTCAAACAAGCCACCGTCCTCTCCTTTGCCTATGACATACAGCTCGTGGTATTCTTGGCCATAGCCCCGCCGAGTGATGGACAGGGAGATTGAGTCGCTCTGCTTACAGAAGTTGGCTTGGGGCATGCCAAAGACAAAGTCCGTGCTAGTGTCGTACATCATCGTGTGGACGTTAGGGCTGACGAACATGACAGAGCCCTCCCCCTGCCCTTTCAGCAGGGAGAAGAAATGTCTGGCCGTTAAGTCGGCCATGTTAGGCAGTGATGAGAAGTTGATGTTCGTCTTGGGCAGACGCTGCTTGGGGCTCCCTTTCAACATGGTGGATAACCATCCCTTCTTATTGGCTTCTGCTTTTTGGGCAGCTTCTGTTGAAGGGTAGAAGAGATGCTCCATGAGGTTGATACGGCGCAGGGAATAAACTCCCTTGGGGTAATTGTGTACTATCATATTCGCAAACTGACGATTCATCATCCTCGAGAATTTAACACACCCAGTAGTTGAATATCGTGGCTATCAAAAGGAAAAAGTTAGTACAGTAGCATTAACACTTGTCGAAAACTAAAATATCAGGATTACTCTAAATAGAAAGATCAAAGGGTCTGTCTAGTTACTGCAAATCTAAGTGACTCAATCAACATAAAAAGGAAAAGCAAAAGAAAAAGGAAAATACCTGCATGAATCTCCGAGTAAAATCAATGACATAGGACTTACACTTTGATGTGCAATACTTAGGGCACATCTAGACGTGCTCTAGCAAAACCGAAGATCAAGGGTGTGTTTGATTGAAGAATGTGAGTGCTACATATAAATTTTGTCAAATTATATTTCCATCTAGTATCATATTTTATCTTTTGTAACTAACTAACATTTTCATGCTACTTCTCTCTTCCAGAACAAAGACAAAAGTGGGAAATATATCAATGTGCCTATTGCCAACTTTGATTAGATGGAGTTCATATTTCAGGATAAGCATGCTACCGGAGAGTTCACGGTCCTTCAAACACCCTATGACCGTGTTCATGCCCGTGACAAGGATTTTATTGGTGATACCGAGAAGAAAATATGAGTGATGTTAAGGTTGATCCTGCAACACATTATGATTCAGATTGTGTTCTTGACGACACCACTAATGAATGCTCGTCTTCGAAGCGTCCTAGAGGTGGCAAACGTGATAAAGGTAAGTGGGTGAAGTGTGATGAGAGCGCAGCTCAAGACATGACGCGGTCTCTGCGTGATATGTCGGATACTATGCGTTCCACACACGTACCAACCCGAATGAGAATTTATTCAAAATAATTGATGACATTGAAGAATACCCTCTCTTCATCCGACTTGTGCTACAGACATCTGTGGCCACCAATGAACAAGTGGCTTCCATGTTGAAGGGGAGACCGATGGCTGCTATTCAAGAGTTTGGGTGCTGGATCGGTGATAACTAGCTTTCCTGAATACGTTCCCGTTGCTCCTGCTGTGTGATTCATTTCACTGCGAACTTTCAGGATTATTTTGTATGTCTTCCGGCATCGTCTCCTAGGGAGATAATGACCGTGCCTCCTCATGCAGGCATGTAACGATGTCACAGAGTTATTCATTCCTGAACAATAAGCTTTTTACTCAGATTCTTTATCAGTCAGTGTGTTAAATTAATCATCATAAAGCTGCGCTGAATTTTTGCATGACTATTTACAACTTGATCTGCTTATAGCTATTTCTCTGTTTCACTGTTTTTTCAAGGTATTGTAGTGATGATGCACTTGTTATAAGCTACTCCCTCCGTCCCAAAATTCTTGTCTTAAATTTGTCTAGATACGGACGTATCTAATACTAAAATGTGACTTGATACATCCGTATTTAACAAATCTAGGACAAGAATTTTGGGATATTTGGATCCTATCAAGACGAGCTAGCTTGCCCTCGACACAGGCAAACGGCTAGCTGCTGGCTCTTGCCAGCAACGGCACTGAACCAAACGGGCAGCTAAGGCAAAGATAGCCCAGCCGAGCTAAGCTAGCTCAGCTATAGGCAAGCTGGGCAACACAACCAAACGCACCCTAATGGTTTGGCGAGAAGGACAAGAATCGAAAGCTCATACCTGCACCACCAAAATCTAATGTAATTTTGTGTGCCACCCGTACAAATTTCACATCTAGGGCCGTCGTCGGTACGAGAACTAATCCTACAAGCGTTTCCCTGTGGTAGGAGCTGTGAGCCACGGGCGCAGATCGCATACAGAGGAAAGGTTAGGCTGGGAGAGGTTCGGATGAATACCTGAAGCTGGCGCCCGGATCTGACAAGCCGGCGCCTGGAAAGTGGGGTAGAAAGGCGGCGGAGGAGGGGAGGGGAGGGGAGGCGAGGCGAGGCGAGATTTCGAAGGGACCTAGATTGTTCTCGTGGCCGAAGTTTTCTTAAGGCCGCGAATAACTGCCAAACTTCAGCTCCGGAGGTGGGATCGGTCGAACGGTCGTTCCCCACGGGAGATCGATCGATCGGTCGAACGATTTTAGTTCTCTTTTTTTCCAGAAAATTATTACGATTTTAGTTTCTTTTAGTTTTATTACGATTTTAGAGCATCCACAGCTGTGCGCCTCAAACCGGCCTCATACGCGTGGGCGGGCCCCGGTCATGATTTTTTAACTCAGATGTGCTCGTTTAAACCGGCCTCAAATGTCCGAACTGACCGGCACCCCTCATATCATGACCAAATATGGGGCGGATATGGGGCGCCCGCCACGTCAGACCCGACAGCATAACCTCATCCCCAATTGCATCAAATTCACCAAACCCTTCCTCCTCCCCCCGTCGCCCTCCAAGCTTTCCCACGCCCGAGCCCTCGCCATCCTCCACCCTTGCTCCCCATCCTCACCACTTGTCCCATCCCTGACCGTCGCGACGGAGACACAGTCCGCCTCGTCCGTCGGCGTCTCTTCGTCGGCTCCGTCTTGCAAGGTGGAGAACGTGGCTGAAAAGTTGCGGCGACGCCGACAGCGAGAGAGGGAGGCAGCGGCGACGCAGGGAGATTTAGACATGGTGGAGCAACTGTCTCCTCCGCCGCGCCCGGACCCCCGCAATCTTCTATCCAAGCGCCGATGTGAATTACGATGTCCGACCCTGTTGGGACAGAGGAGGATTCAACGACATGCTGAGCCACTCCGGAGAGCTTTCCGCCGACGCAGATGCCGGCGGTCAACGTATGTGACTCGCCCAACTCGTTCGGGCGTGGATGAGCATGGGCAAAGGCTCCGCCCGGGCTATCCTCAACATGTTCGACGGAATGACAGAAGAAGAGTCAAGGCGTTTTCTTTACTCCTGTTCGATCAAATTTTTGCATAGATCACTAGTTCATTTGGCACATGATGAATGCTTGCAAACCATGACCGTGTAGGAGGCGTTCTTGTCGAACATGATCAATGACAATGAAGATTCGACCATAATGAAGTATGAATTGGAGGGAACCACCGCATTTGAAGTTGGTGCAACATTCGATCCCAATCCGAGCAGGAAGAAGAAGACCAAGACGACAAAGGCAAGAGATCGGCATTCTCAAGATTTGAGGACATCTTGTTGGTCAAAGCTTGATTGACCACAACAATGGATCCAATATGCAGCACAGAGCAAAAGAGGAACACACATTGGGAGAAGATTTGGAATGAGTATCACGAACAAAAGAAGTATGTGGAGTCGCATCATATCATGACACCCGCAATGTGGCATCTCTCCAACATCGATGGGGGGTCATTCAAGGGGAAGTGAACAAGTACGTCGGCTACTACTCACAAGTGATCAAACGCCCTCAAAGTGGGATGGGAGTGGCAACTCACGTAAGCTCAATTTCTTCATCTTGTCGTCATTTGCATTCTCGTGCTCATACATATGTTGTTTGCTAGACGATGACGGCAGCCACTTTGTATAACAAGGTGGAGAAGAAGCCATTTGCTTTTAGCCATTGTTGGATCATCTTGAATGGCAAGCCGAAGTGGAATCAAGTTGTGGCCGATCTCAAGTCCGACAAGAAGAGGAACGATGGCCACTAGTAGAAAACAGGGCTTGGGTTTTTGCCAGATCAGAGCAACAGTCTCGGTCGTGTTATGAATCGGGACTAATGGGAGCATCGGTCCCGGTTTGAGCGGCCAAGACGCCGACCGGGCCTCGGCAGGCACCAGTCCCGGTTCGGCTGGGACCTTTAGTCCCGGTTCCAGACACCAACCGGGACTAAAGGGCCTCACTCCTGGCAAAACTCCTTTAGTCCCGGTTGGTGTCTGGAACGGGGACTAAAGGTCAGTCTTTAGTCCCGGTTCTGGACACCATCCGGGACTAAAAAGATGCATATACATATGCTCGCCCCTGCCCGCTCACTCCTCTGTTTTTTGGCCGGCCGGTGTGTGGGAGGTGTGTGCTACTCTATTCTCACCTCCTATGCACATGAGGTGTTCGATGAAATGCCTGAGCCACACTTAAGCTTTCTCCTCTCCAAGCTCGACCTCCAAGCTGCATTTTGCCCAAGATTTGTCTAGGTTTGGTGTGAACCAACTATCCAAGTGTTCTAAAATGTTAGCAACTTCATTAATTCATCTCTCACTGCTAGTTTAGCTCATTTCAAATGCTCTAGAAGTAAAGTGGTGTGTGGGTTTTGTTGGGAAACGTAGCATGGAAAACAAAAAAATTATGCGCTCACGCAAAGATCTATCCATGGAGATGCATAGCAACGAGGGGGAGAGTGTGTCTATGTACCCTTGTAGACTGAAAGCGGAAGCGTTTGACAACATGGTTGATGTAGTCGAACTTCTTCTAGCTCCGACCTTGATCAAGCACCAAACATACGACATCTCCGAGTTCTGCACATGTTCAGCTCGGTGACGTCCCTCACCTTCTTGATCCAGCAAGGTGTCGAGGTAGTAGATGAGTTCCGTCAGCATGATGGCATGGTGACGGTGATGGTGAAGTGATTCTCACAAGGCTTCGCCTAAGCATCGCGGAACTATGATCGGGGGTGTAAACTGTGGAGGGGGGCGCCGCACACGGCTAACAATTGATGTTGTGTGTTCTAGGCGCCCCCTCCCACATATATATGAAGGAAATATGCCCTAGAAACAATAATAAAGTTATTATTTATTTCCTTATATCATGATAAATGTTTACTATTCATGCTAGAATTGTATTAACCGGAAACATAATACATGTGTGAATACATAGACAAACATAGTGTCACTAGTATGCCTCCACTTGACTAGCTCGTTGATCAAAGATGGTTGTGTTTCCTAGCCATGGACATGAGTTGTCATTTGATTAACGGGATCACATCATTAGGAGAATGGTGTGATTGACTTGACCCATTCCGTTAGCTTAGCACTTGATCGTTTAGTATGTTGCTATTGCTTTCTTCATGACTTATACATGTTCCTATGACTATGAGATTATGCAACTCCCGTTTACCGGAGGAACACTTTGTGTGCTACCAAATGTCACAATGTAAA